GAGGCTCCCGGGAGAGTACCTGCGCCGCGTGAGAGACAACCCCAGCCCCACCAGCCCTTCTGAAGAGGCTTAAACAGAAGCATCCAATTCAGGATGCGTCGAGTAGAAGGCAGGAAAAGAAATTGCTGTTTCATAGTGAAATATATATATTATACTGTACAGATCTTTCTGCCTCTGTCCAGGCTGGAAGGCGGCAGGGGAGGGGGCTGGGGGAGTCGAGCTGTTGCTTCAGCCGGAGCCCTGGGGAGGCTGGTACAGAGTCCTCCTCCTCCTCCCCTGCATGCATCTTCCCTTGGCACTGGCATCAAACTCTTGCAGGATCTTTAGGAATGAGATCTGTGCACGGATCACTAGGGCTTTTATTTGGCTGTTGAAGAAAAGCCACCACTGCTGCTCACTCGTGCGTTTGAGGCTGCAGGCTGTGGCCACACGGGGCTGTGGGAGTCCCCCCGCCGGGACGGGGTCAGCCTGGTGCGGCTGCGTCTCCCCTCCCCGGAAGTTAGCGTCGAGCCTGCGCAGGAGGCCCCGATATTCCCACGTGCAGCAGCCGTGCTAGGTCCCCTTCCCTGCGCCTCTGCGTGGGGTCAGGTTACTGCTTTGCTTTTAGGGTAGGGGTCTTTGCAGGCAAGTGCCGGAGGCATGAGCAGAGCTGCTCCCTTCCAGCTCCTGCTGCACGCTCCCCCCGCCCTGGCCAAGGCTCGCTCTCTGCTTGGCACCTTGTTGCTCGTCCCCGCACTCCTGTGGCAATTGGAGGTTTAAGATGGAGCCGGCGCGCGGTGGGCACGTGCAGGCGTTGCCCCCTCTGGCTGCCGGTGCGCCCGGCGAGTGGGAAGGAGAAAAACGCAGGTCAGTGCTAGACCGAGAGGGAGAAAGCGAATGTCAAGATCTTGCAGCCCAAATGATTGTACAGAATCATTTCAGTCTTTGTAGGCCCTTGAGGCTGGAGTTAAATAATAAAAAGATGCAGGCGCACTTGCTGTGAGTGGTACTGTGCTGGCCCCTAGGAAAGGGTGCGGGGAGCAGCTCCCAGCTCCCCCGCT